GGAGATTCCTCCAAAAATTAAGGATAGAACTACCATATGATCCAGCTATTCCACTGCTGGGTATTTATCCAAAGAACTTGAAAACACCAATGCGTAAAGATACATGCACCCCTGTGTTCATTGCAGCGTTATTCACAATAGCCAAGACTTGGAAGCAACCTAAGTGCCCATCAAGGGAGGAATGGATAAGGAAGATGTGTATGTATACACCATGGAATACTACTCAGCCATAAGAAACAATGAAATCCAGCCATTTGTGACAAGATGGATGGACATTGAGGGTATAATGCAAAGTGAAATAAGTCAGAGGGAGAAGGTCAAATACCGTATGATCTCACTCATAAGTAGAAGATAAAAACAACAACAGACAAACACATAGAGACAGAGAGTGGAATGGTGGTTACCAGAGGGGAAGGGGGGAGGGAAGAGGGGAAAAAGGGATAACTCGGCACATGTGTGTGGTGATGGGTTGTAATTAGTATTTGGGTGGTGAACATGACGTAATCTATGCAGAAATAGAAGTATAATGATGCACACCTGAAATTTATACAATGTTATAAACCAATGTTACTGCAATAAACAACATCAACAACAACAAAAGAAAACAATCCCATTTACAATAGCATCAAAAACAATAAAATATTTAGGAATGAATTTAACCAAGGAGCTGAAAGATCTTCCCACTGAAAACTATAAGACGTTGATGAAAGAAATTGAAGAAGACACAAACAAATGGAAAGAAGATCAGAAGAATTAATATTGTTGTAATGTCCATACTACCCAAAGCCATCTATAGACTGAATGCAATCCCTATCAAAATTCCAATGGTATTTTCCACTGAAGTAGAAAAAAACAATCCTAAAATTTGTATGGAAGCACAAAAGACCCCAAATAGCCAAAGCAATCTCAAGAAAAAAGAATAAAGCTGGAAGCATCACAATTTCTGATTTTAAACTACGCTACAAAGATAAAGTAATCAAAACAGTATGGTACTGGAAAAAAGTCACATAGACCAATGAAATTAGAATCAAGAGTCCAGAAATAAACCCCTGCATATACAGTCAACTAATATTTGGCAAAGGAGTCAAGAACACTCAATGAAGAAAGGATAGTCTCTTCAGTACATGGTGCTGTGAAAACTGGATATCCACAAGCAAAAGAATAAAACTGGACCCCTATCTTGCACCACTCACAAAAATTAACTAAAATGGATTAAAGACTTAAACGTAAGACCTGCAACCATAAAACTCCTAGAAGAAAACACAGAAAAGAAGCTCCTTGATGTTGGTCTTGGCAACAATTTTTTTGAATGTGATACCAAAAGCCCAAGCAACAAAAGCAAAAATAAACAAGTGGGACTACAACAAACTAGAAAAGCTTCTGCACAGCAAAAGAAACAATTAACAAAATGAAGAGGCAACCTATGGAATGGGAGAAAATATTTGCAAACCATATATCCAATAAGCGGTCAATATCCAAAATATATAAGGAACTCATACAACCCAACAGCAAAAAGACTAATAATCCAAGTTAAAATAGACAGAGGACCTGAATAGGTCTTTTCCCAAAAAAGACATACAGATGGTCAAAAAGTACATGAAAACATCACTAATCATCAGAGAAATGTAAATCAAAACCACAATGAGCTACCACCTCACACCTGTTAGAATGGCTATTACCAAAAAGACAAAAGATAAGTGTTGGCAAGGATGTGGAGAAAAGAGAACCCTTGTGCACTGGTGGTAGGAATGTAAATTGGTACAGTCACTGTGGAAAACAGAATGCAAGTACCTCAAAAAATTAAAAATAGAATGACCATATGATCCAGCAATCTCACTTCTAGGTATATATTTGAAGGAAATTAAATCACTATCTCAAAGTGATATTTGCACCCCCATGTTCATTGAAGCATTATTTGCAATAGCCAAGACATGGAAATAATCTAAGTGCTCATCAACGGATGAATGGATAAAGAAAATGTGGTGT